GGGTCGGGGGGGGTTGGGGGTTTTGGGGGGGTTTCGCCGCCGCCGCCGCCCCCCCGAGCCGGGGAAGCGGGGGGCTGGTGTTACGTCACCGTGCTGACGTCACGCCGCGCCCCCCGGCCGGACGGTGCGCGGTTGTGGGGGGGGATCCGGAGCCGCGCCGCGCCCGTGTCCGTCCTGCGGCCGCGGCCGCGGCAACAACATCCGGGGCAGCTCGCGGAAGTGACGTCACGGGGCGGGCGGTGCCGACTCGGTTCCTCTGGTGACGTCACCGACTCCCCCCACCCTTTCCCAACGCAGCGAAATGACGTCACAGGAGCGATTCACATTGGGTTTATTGGGAGGGAGAGGGGGGCGCATGCGGGACCCCCTTAAACGGGCAACGCCAGAGTGGGGACCACGTCCTTAAAGGGGCAACGCCGCGGCGGGAACCGCGCCCGGTCTTAAAGGGGCAACGCCCTCCAGGGAGCCCCGCCCACCCTTAAAGGGGCAACGCCACGTAAAGAACCGTCCGGCCTTAAAGGGGCAATGCCGGATGGGCCAACCGCGTCCTTAAAGGGGCAACGCCTCCCCGCAGCAGCGCCCCGGCCGGGGGGCGGAGCCTGCGGGGGGGCAGGGGGCGAGGCCCCGCCCACCAGGAGAGGCCCCGCCCCTCAGGGGGGTCCCGGGGGGGCCGCCTGTTCCTTCCTGAGCTGTGCCAGCTCCTGGGACAGCGACTCCAGGTCCTGGAAAGGGGGGAATGAGGGGCGGAAGAGACCCCGCCCACTGGCGAGGCCACGCCCTCAGAGTGGCCACACCCTTGTGCTGCTCACACCCACAGCTGAAAGCCCCACCTCCACTTCAATTCTCCCTTTTATGTCCATAAATTGTGATGTCATAGCTTATGCCACACCCCCACACTTAGACCACGCCCCTTTTAGCCACACCCATCTTCCCACAAGCCACACCCCTATAAGCCACACCCTCACCCTTTAACCACACCCATTCCCAGAGACCACACCCATTTAATAAACCACACCCCTTTAAGAGGCTCCACCCCTTTCCCACAAGCCACACCCTTCAGGCCACGCCCCCCGCTGGCCCCACCCCCTCACCTGTGCCAGGTGCAGGTTCTTGGTCAGCTGCTCCTCCAGGAGGTTCTGCAGCTTCTTGTTCATCTCCCGCAGCCCCTCCTCACCCGGGCCCGGCCCCGCCCCGCGCCGCGCCGGCCCCGCGGGAGCCGCGGCCTCTGCGACAGGGGAGACACGGGAGGGACAGGTGAGACACGGGAGGGACAGGTGAGACAGGGGAGACAGGGGAGGGACAGGTGAGACAGGGAAGGGACAGATGAGGGACAGGTGAGACAGGTGAGACAGGTGAGAGAGGGGAGAGACAGGTGAGACAGGTGAGACAGGGGAGGGACAGGTGAGACAGGGGAGGGACAGGGGAGACAGGTGAGACAGGGGAGGGACAGGGGAGGGACAGGTGAGACAGGTGAGACAGGGGAGGGACAGGTGAGAGGTGAGGGACAGGTGAGGGACAGGTGAGACAGGTGAGAGACAGGTGAGACAGGGGAGGGACAGGTGAGAGAGGGGAGAGACAGGTGAGGGACAGGAGAGACGGGGAGGGACAGGTGAGACAGGTGTAACAGGTGAGCCCAGGTGTAAGAGGCTCCAGGTGAGCCCCAGGTGTACCAGGTGAGGGTACAGGTGAGCCCCAGGTGTACCAGGTGAGAGTAAGGTGTACCAAGGTGAGGGACAGGTGAGCCCCAGGTGCGAGAGGCTCCAGGTGAGCGCCGGTGCCCCCACCTGTGCGGCTGTCCCTGACGAAGCTCTGGATGATGGCGCTCTTCCTGCACAGATCCTCGGCCATGGACGCGCTCGACACCTCCAGGTGCCTCACCTGCCCGGGGGCTGCAGGTGAGGGCGCCGGTGGGGACCCCCAAAATTCACCTGGGGACCCCAAAATGCACCTGGGGACCCCGAAATTCACCTGGGGACCCCCAAAATGCACCTGGGGACTCCAAAATCTACCTGGGGACCCCAAAATTCACCTGGGGACCCCAAAATGCACCCAAAACCCCCAAAATCTCATCAGGGACCCCAAAATTCACCAGGGAATGCCCAAAATCCCATCAGGGATCCCGAAATGCACCTGGGGACCCCAAAATTCACCTGGGGACCCCAAAATGCACCCAAAACCCCCAAAATCTCATCAGAGACCCCAAAATTCACCTGAGAACCCCCAAAATCCCATCAGGGACCCCCAAAACCCCGTCAGGGACCCCAAAATCCACCTGGGGACTGCAAAATTCACCTGGGGACCCCAAAATACACCCAAAACCCCCAAAATCCCATCAGGGACCCCAAAATCCACCTGGGGACCCCGAAATGCTCCTGGGGACCCCCAAAAATCCAATTAAGGACCCCAAAATCCCATCAGGGACCCCAAAATCCACCTGGGGACCCCAAAATTCACCTGGGGACCCCAAAATGCACCCAAACCCCCCAAAATCTCATTAGGGACCCCAAAATGCACCTGGGAACCCCCAAAAATCCAATTAGGGACCCCAAAATCCCATCAGGGACCCCAAAATCCACCTGGGGACCCCAAAATGCACCCAAAACCCCCAAAATCCCATCAGGGACCCCAAAATGCACCTGGGAACCCCCAAAAATCCAATTAGGGACCCCAAAATCCCATCAGGGACCCCAAAATCCCATCAGGGAACCCAAAATCCCATCAGGGACCCCCCTCAAATTTTGGGCTTCCCCCCCACACACATTTTGGGGTTCCCCCCTCCCAGAGTTTCCCCCTCCCCAAATTTT